TAATTTTTGGTATAGTAGTTGTGACTTATTCACACTATATACATTTGGCTTCCGCAACAAAGATATTCTATCACTAGTTAGCAACGGACCATTTTGCGGGCATGTAAATGGCGCTCTCATTTTTCGAGTTAATTCACCGGGCCTTGCATCTAGCAACTTTACATTTCGAATCGCTGCAAGAGTTACTGAGAATTTAGTCATCACTGTGTCGTTAGGCCGTGTTCCAAGATTGTGTTTCTCCCCTGGAAATGAGTCTCTTTTATCGGAGATTCCTATAGTCGAAAGTCCAAGTTATGATCCTCTTGAACAAAAGGAAAGGGGTGGGATTGTCATCAAGGAACATGTTCTTGATTTTCTATTGATGATGAATCATTTTGAAGAGGCTGATAATACAGTGCCTAAATCCGTGTCAAATCTTGTTGTTCACGTTATAGACACACATGTGGATCACCTTCAAGATATTGTGACTAAGTTGGAGATTGAGTTGGATTCTGTTGAACTGGAATTGGAAAAAGGTACATTTTGATGTTTATATTAAAGTAAGCAAAAGAGACTAGAATTCCTGTTACTATAGCTGAGTTTCTTATTTGCATTATTAGAAACATACTAAAAAAAGGGCAGTCCGGTGCACTAAGCTCCCGCTATGCACCGGGTCCGGAAAAGGGCAGGACCACAAGGGTCTACTGTACGCAACAACTTTACCAGTTATTCATTAGAAATAGACTAGTGTTTCTAACTTTCAGTATGTCATGGGGATAGGGAAATTTTGCCTTGCTTCCTAATATTTGTTTGGTTGCAGGTGGTTTTGCTTTGAAGCAACAAATGTTGGATGACAGAAGATTCCCAAAGGTGCATCTTGACTCGCAACGCCTCCTCCAGGTAGTTTTTGTAGTCCTGACTCTCCAAAATACTGTCCCATCCGCGTCGGATTCTCCAAAAATATACTACTTTTGGAGAATCCGACACACACCCGGCTACATTTTCGGAGAGTCCAAGCAACATAGGACATTTATAAAAGCAATAATACTACTTTAGTTAATAAAAACCAAGAGGATGTGTTTACTCTAGACATATGTTTTCATTTTATTAGTTAATGTTATTGTAGGTGATTGCATATGGGGAGCAAGTAATTCCAAGAGTGAAGGAGAAGTGTTCTTCAAAAGATTGGTTTTCCAGTGATGATATTAACATCCTTGAAGAGATAATTGGTCAACTGAGAAGTTTAAAAGAGAATATTGGATTTATAGCTAATAGAGTTACAGGAATACAGACTGGTCTTGAAAGTTGGCAAGCTGACCAAATAACTAGAAAACTATATTACCTTTCTTTCCTCTCCATCATGTTTCTCCCCTTGTCAGTAGTAACTGGAGGTAATATTCTTAAGTAACTTTTGTCCTTAATTTCATATTATGTTTCAGTTTAAAAGGAGCCTTGGCACAACCAGTAAGAGTTGTCGTTGTAAGACCAAAGATCACGAGTTCAAGTTGTGAAAATAACCTCTAGCAAAATTGCGAGATACGATTGTGTGTAGTAGCAACCCAATGCACTCCGGTCAGTGGCAGAACTGTAGTGTCAAGGAGATTGAACTTCCTTCGTCGTAAAATTACATTGTGCGATTAGAGTAAACATGATCTTTTTTCGTTATATGTGAGCAATTGAATCCTCTTGACAAGAAGAAAAATTCACATATAGTAGTAAATAGGATTTTACTGGGTTGTTGTTGTTGTTGATAGTAGTAAATGGGATTCATTATTGCTTTAAGTCATAGTTCAAATTCCAACTGTGACATTCTAAAATTATTTTGAATCCCCTTGTATAAATTTTTGTTCTGCCATCGGCTTCGATCCTTCCCAAACCCCGCACATAGCGGAAAATTTAGTGCATCGTGCTGTCCTTTTTCCATTTGAAAATAGTCTCTTGCAAATTGCAAGGTAAAACTGTTCATAGTAGCAACTCAACGCACTCCGGCCAGTGGCGGAACTAGATAGTGACAAGGGGGTTAACCCCCCTTGTCAAAAAATTATATGGTGCAAATAGAGTAAAAATAATTTTTTTTTGTTATATGTGAGTTGTTGAATCTCCTTGATATGAAGAAAAAAAATCAAATATAGTAGTAAAGGGGGTTACAAAATTGCCTAAGGTCATAGTTCATATTTCAACTGTGACATCCTATAATTTTTTGAATCCCTTGTATAAATTTCTGGTTCCGTTATTGACTCTGGTCCTTTCCAAACCTCACGCATAGCGGAAACTTAGTGCATCATGCTATCGTTTTTCCATTTGAATCATTATATTTGCATGCATCTGATGTCACTAACATTGTCTGGTTTATGACAGTGTTTGGGATGAATGTGGGAGGTGTTCCTTGGACAAACCAAAATGAACCTGAGCTGAAGGAGGGGTTCCACAATGTAATGTTGCTCTGTGTGGCTTTAATACTGTTGGTCCTCTTATGCTTCCTTTTCCCAACTTTTTATGCTTCTTTTGTGACTTGGAAGAGAAGAAGAGACATGAAAAGAAGTTGGTCTCTCAACCACAAATCCTTCCATAGAAGAACTACAAGTAGTAGTAGGGAAAGAAATGATAATGGAGGTTACCAACAGTTGTATTGAATTGAAAATAGGTAGGAAACAATTTGCAGTTACTCTGCCTGCTGCTTTCTCCAAAAGTTAACGGAGGCGTGCAAAGGTTATCTCAGGCGGGGATGGAAGTTGGCCTTCGAGTGCAAAAGCGGGAGCTTGACTACAAGACCCACCAATCGAGCAAGGGCGAGAGTCGGCTTCAGTACTCACACGAGTGGAAGGGCCGTCTCTCAGCGGATAAAAGTTACTTACTTTCCGTGAACATAGATTCTGACATAATTGTTACTTAGAGTAGTGATCAATGAATTAGTGAGTTGAATGTAAGCCAATGTTCAGTTAATTTCTTTCATTTGTTTAACGTTTTACCCTGTATAAACAAATCATTATTCTGACTAATGCCTGAAATTCAACAACTGTTACATCAAATTTGACATTTTTCTCAACCACTAGTTTTAGACATTAGATTGATGAATAGGAACAATGAAAAAACACTTAAATTAAATTATGTTTCTTTAGTATATTTCGAAATTGAAAAACTTTTATTTGCAAACTTTGCATTTCATATGTTCTTAATTTGAGGGAGGTTTTTCAAATAAAGAGAGAATAGTCAGGAAGAGTATTTACATTAAATCACATTAATTTATTATAATTTATTATTATATTGAAGTAAAATGATACATTAAAGGGGCAACCCGATGTACTAAGCTTCCGCTATGCGCGGGGTACAGGAAATGGCCGAACCACAAAGGTTTATTGTACGCAATTTTACTCTATATTTCTGTAAGATGATGTTTTTACGAGTTGAACCCGTGACCTCAAATGATGCGAAGGCTCCACTTCTAAAATGATGCATTAATAAATCATATTTAAGTGATAGAACAATGCATAAAAAATACACTTTGATATTGCACCACAGCGTGTCACGTAGTCATATTGTCCCTTTTTTTTTGTGTGACCATTGTCGAATTAGGAGTAATTTAATTACCAATTTCTGTGACCAAATAGTATAATAGGTGAATTAGAAAAAAAGGAAGAAAAAAAAAAAAGGAAAGGAGGCGAGATCACATACGTCTAGAACTTTCTGACCCAGTAGTTTAATTTAATGGTACACCGCCACGTCACCTTACATTTCCCCTTCTCCAAGCCACTACTAGAAATTAGAATAGAATAATCCCTTTTTCTTTCTCTAAAACCCTAAACCCTAGCAACAAACAGCCTCCATAAAAAGAAGCTGCAATCAACCTCAATTCGTCCTTTTTTACTGTATTCTCCAATGGCGACCACCGTATTGCTCAGATCTCTTCGTCGCCGTGAAATTGCTACCTCTTCTCGTTCTGCTTATAAAACTGTATGTAAAGTCTCGATCTTTCTTATCCTTCAACTGTTTTCACAACTGTTATCTCTTAAATCTGTACTCTTCTCCTTAAATTTGTGATTTTAGGTCAGATTGTGTTATTAGTTAGGGGGGGGGGAGGTACTGGGTTTTGATGTTAAATTCTGAAATTGAACTTCACTAAGGTGCTAAATTGTAAGTGGAAACCTAGTTTAATATTACATTTGAAATGCTGACCAACTTAGGAGTTCAATATTTGCAAATACTGAAATAGTATGCGCAGATGGGCCTCAAGTGTTTGTTGTTTATATTTGTTTTTGGTCATTACTTTTGTTGTTTGACAGTGATTGTATGTTAGTATAAGGATAAGCGTTGGGCTTAGAAAAAATCTAGTTTTAGAGTATTCATAATCTACTGTAAAAGCAAAATGATATGACTTATAAAATGAAATCGCTACTGATTGATGGATTTATATAATTGATACTAAGTAATTTGGAATTGAGGGATAGTTAATTGAAGATACTTCTGAGCGGGAGAGAGTGCCTTTACTTTTGTGATGGGTATTGTGTGTTGTGTTAGGACATTCCCCACTCTGAGTGGGATGGTGATATTTAGGACATGTTGCTATCAGGGGAGGAAGATGTGTTTGTAACTCCTAATGCGTTTTCCTTAAGTGGGTGGAAGTCTATCATTTTGTTTGTTAAGATAGATATGGAGTGAATTTTTTTGTAGTTCATCTGGTATGTGCTTATGTGGAGTTCTGCTATGCCGGCTTCGGTGACTGGTTGACATTCAGAAATATATATTTTTGGCAGTTAGTGGTTTTCTCGTGCGAGAACTTTGCTGTTTTTTTTCCCTTTCCTTAAATCAAGATGAGAAAACTTTTGTTGATAAAATAACTTTTGCTTATGTGGGTGCTATGTATGGCTTGTGCAGCTTGCTTCAAACATTAAGCCGTCATGGTGTCCAACACTTGGTGGTGCTAAATTGGCTGGTCTAGCCAGACCGTTTTGGTAACTGCCTTAAGTCTCCTATTTTCAGCTTTATTTTAAGATGAATGATATTTACTTTTCTACTGGAACTCATCTTTCATATGGTGCAGCTCTAGACCTGCTGGAAATGAGATTATTGGGATTGACTTGGGTACCACAAATTCCTGTGTTGCAGTGATGGAGGGCAAGGTAAGAGTTTTGTTCGTTGGCCTAGGGTAAAATTGTTCTTTTAACTCCTCCTGAGACTGAACTAGTATGGTGGATTTGGTACATCTTTTGATGCTTTTATTCATGCAGAACCCGAAAGTGATTGAAAATGCTGAGGGATCTAGGACCACTCCGTCAGTGGTTGCATTTAACCAAAAGGCAGAATTGCTTGTTGGTACTCCGGCAAAACGTCAGGCAGTCACCAATCCTACAAATACCGTTTTTGGGACCAAGCGTCTAATTGGTAGGCGGTTTGATGATCCCCAGACACAGAAGGAAATGAAGATGGTTCCTTACAAAATAGTGAGGGCTTCCAATGGAGATGCTTGGGTTGAATCCAATGGGCAGCAGTATTCCCCAAGTCAGGTTGGAGCATTTGTTTTAACAAAGATGAAGGAAACTGCAGAAGCCTATCTAGGGAAGTCTATAAATAAAGCCGTGATCACTGTTCCAGCTTATTTCAATGATGCTCAGAGGCAGGCAACCAAGGATGCGGGGCGAATTGCAGGCCTTGATGTGCAAAGGATTATTAATGAGCCTACTGCAGCGGCACTTTCCTATGGTATGAACAACAAAGAAGGTCTTGTTGCAGTCTTTGATCTTGGTGGTGGCACCTTTGATGTTTCTATTTTGGAAATATCAAATGGCGTTTTCGAGGTAAATGAAGCAGTTTTGTGTTCTCTTATGTTGTTCATCTTGTTGTTTTGGGACTCCTCTAACTATATACCACTCAGGTCAAAGCAACAAATGGAGACACCTTTTTGGGAGGAGAAGACTTTGACAATACGTTGTTGGAATTTTTGGTGAATGAGTATAAAAGGACAGACGGAATTGACCTGTCAAAAGACAGGCTTGCCCTGCAAAGACTTCGAGAGGCAGCTGAGAAAGCTAAGATAGAGCTATCATCGACCTCACAGACTGAAATTAATTTACCTTTCATCACAGCTGATGCATCAGGAGCTAAACATCTTAATATAACTCTAACTAGATCCAAATTTGAGAATTTGGTGAACAGTTTAATTGAGAGGACAAGGGATCCTTGCAAGAATTGTTTGAAGGATGCTGGAATATCGACAAAAGATGTGGATGAGGTCCTCCTTGTTGGTGGTATGACTCGTGTCCCTAAAGTGCAGGACATTGTTTCTGAGATTTTTGGCAAGAGCCCGTGCAAAGGTGTAAATCCAGACGAAGCAGTTGCCATGGGAGCTGCAATTCAAGGTGGTATTCTCCGTGGCGATGTGAAAGAGTTGCTGCTTCTGGATGTCACTCCATTGTCTCTAGGTATTGAGACTTTAGGAGGTATCTTTACCAGGCTGATCAACAGGAATACCACCATACCTACAAAGAAAAGCCAGGTAAGTTTTTAGGTTCGGACATGTCATTTTAATCTTCATAACTGGCGAACTGCCTATATTCTCAATGTTATATGGACAGGATTTGTTTGTCTTTGGTCATGCCTTCTAACATTTTGCTGCCTCTCCTCTTGATATTCCAGGTGTTCTCGNTACCAGGCTGATCAACAGGAATACCACCATACCTACAAAGAAAAGCCAGGTAAGTTGTTAGGTTCTGACAGTGTCATATTAATCTTTGCAATTGCTTATATTCACAGTTATATGGGCAGGATTTGTCTCTCTTTTGTCATGGCTTCTAAGTTTTGCTGCCTCTCCTCTTGTTAATCCAGGTGTTCTCTACTGCTGCTGATAACCAAACCCAGGTTGGCATTAAGGTCTTGCAAGGTGAGCGAGAGATGGCATCTGATAATAAGATGCTGGGAGAATTTGAACTTGTTGGTATTCCTCCTGCACCAAGGGGTCTGCCTCAGATAGAAGTCACATTTGACATAGATGCAAATGGACTTGTCACGGTCTCTGCCAAGGACAAGGCCACTGGCAAAGAACAGCAGATCACTATTCGATCATCTGGTGGACTCTCAGAAGATGAGATAGACAAGATGGTCAAGGAAGCTGAGTTGCATGCCCAGAGGGATCAGGAGCGGAAGGCACTGATTGATGTCAGGAACAGTGCAGACACAACCATATACAGTATCGAAAAGAGCTTGAACGAGTACAGGGACAAGGTCCCCAAGGAGGTGGCAACAGAAATTGAAACAGCTGTTTCCGACTTGAGAACGGCAATGGGAGGTGATAACGTTGATGAAATCAAATCGAAGCTTGATGTAGCAAACAAGGCTGTTTCTAAGATTGGACAGCATATGGCTGGTGGTGCCGGAGGTGCCTCTGAAGGCGGCTCTGATGGAGGTTCTCAAGGGGGAGCCCCTGAGGCCGAGTATGAGGAAGTGAAGAAGTAAAATTTCGTGGTGAACACTGAGGATGGCATATTGGAGTTGTTTTTTATCCTCATTCTTTTGTTGAAAATGAAATTTTCTCTGTCAACGTCCTATTTTCTCCCCTAGCATTCTGTAACTAGAAAGTTGATTCGAACTGCTTATGCTTCTGATTTTTTTGTTCTCCAAGTAGAGAGATGAGACCAACCTTTACATTGATTAGCCAATAGTAGAATTTTTGTGAACGCATTCACAGGTGAAAATGAACCACGCCGGCTATTGCCAAATAAATTGCTTAATTCGAGATATATTGCTCCCCTTGTCTTTTAAATTTCTTTTCTTTGGCTTTGTGTTTCTGGGCTGATCTTCAGTGTGGTTGAGCTGCTAGTGCGACAGCAATTAAGACGAGACCCTTGTCGCCTTCTGCCTAATTAAATGTTGTAGGGGTAAGGTCTGCTTATATTTTACCCT